AGAGAGAGAACTTGAGAGAGAAAGAGAGAGAGGAGAATAGACAGATACATTGATAATACTAAACAATAAGCATTTTGCGCATTTATAATTATACTGCTCTGCGCGTGTGTGTGTGTGTCCAAACCTTCGTGGGTGTGCACTGCGTGACAAGTTCAAAGAAATAAGCTGAATAACAAATAACGAATCACAACTTCACTAGAACTTCCGAGTAACGTTACTGAGAAGATAGACACATCCAATCGGGTCCCTGAATTACAGTACCCGATGTGACTTGTGTTTTGAGAACTTCCTGGGATGAAGTTTGGAACATCATATCCGTCAAAAAAAAGAGAAAAAAAAGGTCATGCAAACTAATTGTTGTGTGTTGCGTGTCGTGCACACTTTGCTGTGTTGTATGTATATATGTGTGGTTATATATATATAATATATAAATAATATATTATATATTTATATAAATTTTATATATATAATATATATATATATATTACGTACGTGTAATATAACAACGCCACACAGCAATGTGAATCCGCCAGCGACAGAGAGAAGGAGAGAGAGAGAGAGAGAGAGAGAGAGAGAGAGAGAGAGAGAGAGAGAGAGAGAGAGAGAGAGAGAGAGAGAGAGAGAGAGAGAGAGGAGGAGAGAGAGAGAGAGAGGAGAGAGAGAGAGAAGAGAGAGAGAGAGAGAGAGAGAGAGAGAGAGAGAGAGAGAGAGAGAGAGAGAGAGAGACGAGAGAGGAGAGAGAGAGAGAGAGAGAGAGAGAGAGAGAGAAGAGAAGAGAGAGAGAGGAGAGAGGAGAGAGAGAGAGAGAGGAGAGAGAGAGAGGAGATGAGAGAGAGAGAGAGAGAGAGAGAGGAGAGAGAGGAGAAGAGAAGAAAGAGAAGAAGAGAAGAGAGAAGAGAGAAGAGAAAGAGACAGACAGACAGACAGACAGACAGACAGACAGACAGCCATAAACAGAGAGCCAGAGAGAGGAAGGGAAATGAGCGACACTCCCAGAGAACACACCGCAGACCCCGTAAGCCTTCCCTGAGCTCCAGACACCTGCAAGGACGTGCTAGGATTGGCCGTAGGATTTGTAGGATCGAGCAGACAATCCTCCCCCAAAGAGCGTAGGATAACAGGTGGGCGTGGTCAGCTGGGGGGGGGGAGGTCCTGGGCGCCGTTTCGTCCTATTATGGGCGTGATCAGGAGACGCGGAGGGTGCTGGTGTTGGGTGGGGTGTAGGGGGTGGGGTGGGAGGGGGGGGAGGGGTGGTGGGCTGTGGATAAATTGCGGGCGTAGGGGTGCGTGGCGTTGTGTGTTTGCTTTGTCTGTGTGGGCGTGTTTGTGTTTGTTGTTGTGCGTTTGGTGTTTTTTTATCCTTTTTTATTGTTGTTTCTTTGTTTTTTTTATCCTTTTTATCCTTTATTTGTTGTTTTGTTTGTTTTGGTGGATCGTTTGCGCGTGTGTGTTTGTTTGTATTTCTTTGTTTGTGTTTTTTTGCTTACAGTTTTTATGCTTTTGCTTGCGCTGTTTGTGTAAAACTGCGTGCATTGTTTGTGTTCGTGTGTGTGTGTATGTTTGCGTGTGTGTTGTTTGTATGTGTATGTCTATGCTGTGTATGTGTGTTTGTATGTGTGAGTTTCTGTGTGGTTTGTGCGTGTGTTGTGTGTGTGTGCATGTGTATGTGTCCGTATGTGTCGTACACGTATATAAATATGTATATGTGAGTCTATTCATATAGATACATAATATAATTCTCATCACCCCCCCCCCCCCTCTCATTCACCATCCAGCCCCCGTAGAACAAAAGAACATCCGGGTTCCTGAACATCCGAACCAGCTGCCGTTGTTCCCGAAGCTTCTACTTGTTCATTATCTGCTGTCTATCATATTCTCGTTTATCTCTCTTCGTTATCTATTTTTTCGTTGTTTTTTATTATTTTTTTTATTCATTTATTTATTTTTTTTTTTTTTTGAGGGGGGGGGGTCGGTGATATGTTTCCTTCGATAGATTTTTTTTTTTTTAATATGATTTTTTTTCTTTCATTGAACTTAATTTCTGTGATATCTCTTTCATTTGACTCTCACTTTCTCTTTTTTTCAAAGAATTATTTTCTTTTGTTATGCCCGCTACTGATTATGTATATGTATAAATAAATTAAAAAATGAATACATCATTATATATAAATATGTGCGTGTGTATGTATGCGTGTGTGTGTGTGTGTGTGTGTGTGTGTGAGAGAGAGAGAGTTTTATATATATATATGTGTGTATGTGATTGTTGTGTGTGTATGATATATATACATATATATGTGTGTGTGTTTGTGTTTATGTTTCTGCATGTATGTATATTGATATATATATACATACATACATACATACACACACACACACAACCACGTGTGTGATTAGCCTTGATATATTTATCACTTTTTTTATTAATAACAATATAGAATATATCACACTTGTTAAGCCTTCCCCAACTTCCGCAGGCAAGTTTACTGCAACTTTAGTGAATTTCAAAAGTTACGGTGTTTATGCTAATAGACCTTCTCTTTGCCAAATAAAAGGGTAAATAAGATTGTGTGGCGATATTTCTTACATTCATTAAGGTCTCAATCTTCATGAGTATAATATTAAACAAAATAAATATATATATATATATATATATATATATATATATATATATATATATATATATATATATATATATATATATATATATATATATATATATATATATACATATATATATATATATATATATATATATATATATATATATATATATATATATATATATATATATATATATATATATATATATATATATATATATATATATATGTGTGTGTGTGTGTGTGTGTGTGTGTGTGTGTGTGTGTGTGTGTGTGTGTGTATATTTTTTCTTTTTTTTCTTTTCTTTTTCTTTCTTTCTTTTTTTCTTTTTTCTTTTTTTTTTCTTTCTTTTCTTTTTCTTCTTCCTTTCTTTCTTTTTCTTTTTTTTTTCTTTTTTTTTTCCATATTGTTTTTCTTTTCTTTTTTTTAATTCTTCTTCCCTTCTTCTTTTTCTTTTTCTTTTTTCAATTCTGCTTTCTTCTCTCTCCCTCTACCATTGGAATTGTTGTGTGAATGTGTAATACTTCACGATGCCAGGCAGGAACTACCATTACTACAGGGACTTACAAAACACCACCAGGACTTTGACGTTTTATTTCAAGATGACACTAGATCACGCTTCTTGTCGCTTCTGGCTTGGAGTCTACGAATGCCGGCCTTCTTAGGGGGGAGAAGAGTGATGAGGAATAATCCCCAATGATGAGGAAAAAGAAGGAAAAGAGAGAGGGGTAAAGGGAGAAGAAAATGAGGAAGGGAGGGAGGGAGGAGGCAGCATCCTGTGCCTCCAATCCCCGTGTTTACTAAAGTGATGAAGAATAATTACTAATAACGAAAAATAATTAAAAATAATGAGAAAAATGAAGGAAAAGAGAGGGGTGAAGGGAGAAGAAATGAGGAAGGGAAGGAGGGGCAGCATCCAGTGCCTCCAATCCCCGTGTTTACTAAAAATGAAGAAGAATCACCAATAATGATGAAAAAGAAGGAAAAGAGAGGAGAGAGAGAGAAGAAAATGAGGAAGGAATGGGGGGGGCAGCATCCGTGTCTCCAATCCCTGTGTTTACAATCTACAGGTTTCTAGACCATGTCGTATGCTCTGCTGAAACCGTGGGCCGAAAAAGGACTTACAGGAGGCCACAAATCCTCACTTCTCTTATCAAAATTTATAATATCTGAGAGTTATTTACATATAAACCTAGATATGGTAAGGCGATATGTGCTCTACGAGAGGAAGGTTCGAAATAAGATTTAAATCCAGTTAGATTTATTTCAGTCTTTTTCGTTTTTTCCCCAAAAACATAAATCCAATTAGATTTATTTTTCTTTTTTCCCCAAAAGACATAATTCCAATTAGATTATTTTAGACACTTTTTTCCCAAAAAACACTATCCACTTACGTCAAGGGACACATATTTTAACTTAAATGTATTATTTCATGATTCCCCTTTTTTATATAGACTTCCATGTTACAAAATGTCCTTAATCAAGAAAAAAAAATAGATAAATTAATGAATAATGATAGTAGATACAAAAAGGAACAAAGATGTTATCACTAGCATTTCCATCCTGTCAAACTAGCACTGACCCAGGACGAAGATGACACACCTAAGCTAATAATGACACTTTAAGATTGATGATGACACGGCTAGGACGATTATGACACATTTTGACGTTAATGGAAGGGTATCGGTTGTGAAAGAGGAAGAGGAAGGGGAGATTATGGGATGAAGGAATAAAGAAGGGAGAGATGAAACCAGAGAGAGAGATGGGAAGGGTGAGAGGAGGAGAGAGGAGGAGGGAACGAGTGGCGAAGGAGGGAAGTGGATGAGAGAGGATGATGGCAAGGTCTGTCCTGCGGCTCCCGACGCCCACGCGCGCCGCCCGCGTCGCCTCACAGGGCCGCCTCCGCCTCGCCGCCCGGCTGCTCGAGGCTGGTCTGCAGCTGCGGCTACAGCAGGTCGGGCGGCGAGTCCTGGCCGCTGTGGGTCAGCAGGGCTCTGCTCAGCGCCGCCTCGATGCTGCCGCTGCGCCCCTGCACCAGCCACACCGCGCCCGCCGCCGCCCCACACCCGCAGGCGGCGGTGAGAGCCGCGGGCGGCAGGTGAAGCAGCAGCGTGATGTTGGCGAGGACGGCCAGGAGCGGCAGCAGCGGGACGCCCTCCTGGAAGGCGGGCGTGGGCGGCGGGTGGCGCGGCTGCAGCCACAGCCCGACGCCGCACACGACGCAGCCGCACACGCACAGCGCGACGCCCGCCCACGCCCACAGCCCGATGCCCAGCTCCCCCGCCGCCCGGACCACGCCCACGCCCGCCACGCAGTTCGTGATGAAGGTGGCCAGCAGGAAGCGCGAGGTGCGCCACGACCCCCACGTGGGCGGGATGGGCGGCTCCACCACGGAGGACCCACGTGCCGCCCGCCCACTCCACGGCCAGCTGGCGCGGCTCGCTGTCGTCGCAGGCCTGGTAGCTGCGGTGGGCGGCGGCGGCGGCGTCAGGTCGGTGAGCTCGGAGTGGCTGGCGCTGCGCGAGGGCGCGGGCGAGGCGCGGTGGGCGGGCGACGGGCGCGCGGGCGCCTCCAGCGGGTGCGTCGCCTCCGGCCGGAACCGCCGCGCCACCACCGCCGACGCGCCCGCCACGCCCGCCGTCAGGCCGCCCGCGCCCGCCGCCCGCAGCAGGAGGCGCGACGAGCAGAGCGCGGCGGTGAGGGCGGAGGCGGCGCCGCAGGCCAGCGCGGCCGCCCACGGCGTGGCGGTGCGGCGCGATACGCGGCCCAGGCAGCGCGGCGCCAGCCCGTCGCACGCCAGGCGGTGCGCCGCCCGCGACCCCGCCAGCACGCCGCCCAGGCAGGCCGCCCACAGCCCCGTCACGCCGCCCACGGCCACCAGCGCGCGCATGCCGCTCAGGGGCGCGCCCGGGAACAGGTGGGCGAGTGACGCCGAGAAGGCGAGCGTGGGCGCGGCCAGGGTGGCGCCCACGGCGGCCGGGAAGAGGGTCAGCAGAGCCACCAGCCGACGCCCACGCCCACGCGGGGTCGCCACGCCCGCGGTAGTGGGCGCACTCGCCCGGCCAGGAGGCCCGCCTGGTGGGCGCCCGCCACGCCCATGCCTCAGCACTGCGCCCCCGCTCACCACCTGGGGGGGGGGGGAGAATATTAGATCTGAATACATTCTGACGCTAAATATAGGCTACGTTTTATCTTTGATTCAACATCAGAGTAAAAGGAGCGTCAGTCTTCGCATCAAACCATATGTGAAATATATCTATATATATATGTATATATATATATATATATATATATATATATATATATATATATATATATATATATATATATATATATATATTATACTATATATATATACATATATACACACATCCTTACCCTATGTTACCCAGCTGGGAAAAAACCCGGAGGATGAGTCCAGTTGCGTGTGTCGGCGGCAAGGAGGGCGGTGCACGAGACAGCTGTGAGGACTAAGACAGACACGCCCACTCCGGCAGCAGCGACTTGGCAGACGACCTGTGGGCGAGGAGAGATAGAGTGTGGGTGGAGTGACGATCATGTTGCTTTATGTTTTTGATGATGGTAGTTGTTTAAAAGATATTAGTTTGTAAGTAATTTTGATAATGGTAGAAATTTTAAAGATATTAGATTGTAAGTATTTTTGATAACGATAGTGATTTGAATAATAATAGTTTGTAAGTATTTTGGTAATGATAATAATTCAAACAATATTAGTTTGTAAGTATTTTTGGAATGATATAATTTTAGTTTGTAAGTATTTTTGAATGATAGTAATTAGAAATATTAGTTTAAGTAATTTTGATAATGATAGTAACTTTGAAGATAATGGTAATATAATGTTGATGTTATGGTAAAAATCTAAAGTGATATGTAGAGGATGAGAGGACATATATTTTGTTTTATTTATTCATTTTTGTTATTATTACTTTTATTATTTTTACAAACAACCGTCAACTTAATGATATAAAGAATAAACATATAAGTGATATATCTGCATACCATTCCAGGCCCCCTTCCTACCCACAAATAATGATAATAATAAATAATAATAACAATAAAAAAATAAAAAAAAAATGAATAAAATGGAAATATTCATTCATTACACTCATCCTTCTCTCCCAAAATCCTTCTGCCTTCCTCTCCTCCTCCCTCTCTCCTCCCTCCCTCTCCTCCCCTCCCCTCCTCCCCTCCCTCCCGTCCCTCCCCTCCTCTCCCCTCCCTCCCCTCCCTTCCTCCCTCCCCTTTCCCTCCCCACTCCCTCTTTTCCCATTTTCCTCCTGCTCTCTTATTTTTCCCTTCCTCCCTCTTTCTCCTTTTTTCCTTCTCTTCCTCCCCTTTCTTCTCCTTTCTTCCTCCACCCTCCCCTCCCTTCCCTCTCCCCTCCTCCTTTCCTTCTTCCTCCTTTTTCCCTCCTTCCCTTTCCTCCCTCTCCTCCTTTCCCCTCCCTCCTCCCTCTTTTCCCTCCTCTCCTCTCCCTCTCCCCCCTTCCTCCCCCCCCCCCCCCCATCCTTTCCCTCCTCCCCTCCCTCCCCTTCCTTCCCCCCCCTTTCCTTTCCTCCCTCCCTCCTTCTTCCCCCCCTCCCTCCCTCATCCCGCCCCCCAAACACCCAAATGACCTTACCTTAGTTCCCGCGACGATCATAAGGGTCGAGAAGACGAGCAAGGTCGCGGCGAAGAGGTCACAGTGGGGCGCCAGGTACCGGTACTCGGGTAGCGGGAAGGTCAGGAGGCGAGAGAGAGTGTGGTTGGTAGCGGCGTCGAGGTACTCGCTGCTACTCCGGGCCGCTGGGGGGGGGGGGGGGGGGGAGGTGGGGAGAGAAAAAAATTGTAGTTACTAAACATATGTATAATAACTGCTTGATGTGTAGATAATGACTGTTAGATACATGGATAATAACTGCTAAATACATACATGACATAGATCTAACATTCAAACATTCACTCATTTTTTTTTTTTGGGGGGGGGGGTTAATTTACAGTGGTCTCAGAATACAGGGAATTTTTCGCTAGAAATAAATCTATGCTTTCTAGTAATCTTCGAATAAAATTTATAGTATGGGTAATGTAATTAATATAGCGAAATAAACTATATAGAAAAAAATTCGTTTCAACAGCATCTAAACCATTGAGTATCCCTTTGTATTCACTGATTTGTGAATAATGAATAAGTTAATAAACAAGCTTTCCTTGATATTCTTTGCTGACATATAACCATCGACCTTTAAATTCTATCCCGGAAGACTTATTGTGAAATGTATCAATAGGAAATTCTAGTTGTTGGTAGCAAAGACAGTCGTGACAATCATGATATTTTTATTTTATTTCATTTCGTTGTACTTTACTTTATTTTATTTTATTTTAGTTCAGTTCAGTTCAGTTCAGTTCATTCTTTTATAATATTATATTTTATTTTATTTCATTTCAGTTCAGTTCATATTTTTTTATTATCATTCTATTCTATTCTTCTTTCATTTTTTTAATGTTAGTGTCATTTGATTTATTATCGTTCTACATTTTCCCTTAATCCTTTAGAGCAATATATATTTATTTTTCTTACATTTAAAGGTATATTAACAACCCTTCATCATCTTTAATATATTCCTCTGCAGCATCATGTGCAACTGAATGTTCAAATTCAAAGCAAAGTGATTCTAATACTTCAATTATCAAACAAAATTATACCGGATCTTACCATGTAAATTATTTTCAGTGATATCATAAATGTATTATCGTCATCATTTCCTATCTAGATCCGTTCATGCAACCATGTTCTTGATCGTTCATGGATCACCTTCATGTTTCTCTATGATCATGTTAAATGATCATATCTATGATCCTATCTTCTATGATCATGTTAAATCTTCATAAATCTTCTATGATCATTCTAAGATCATGATCATCGGATCATGTTAAAATGATCATTCTTCTATGATTCTTCTATGATCATGTGATTAAAATCTTCTATGATCTTCTATGATCATGTTAAATCTTCTATGATCATGTTAAAATGATCATTCTTCTATGATCATGTTATCTTCTATGATCATGCTTCTATGATCATGTAAATCATATATTGATCATTCTATGTTATCTTCTATGATCATGTTAAATCTTCTCATAAATGATCATTCTTCTATGATCATCATTCATTCTAAATGATCATTCTAAATCTTCTATGATTCATGTTAAGATCATGTCTTCTATGATCATGTTAAATCTTCTATGATCATTCTAAATCTTCTATGATCATGATGATCATGTTTAAATCTTCTATGATCATGTTAAATCTTCTATTGATCATGTTAAATCTTCTATGATCATGTTAAATCTTCTATGATGATTTAATCTTCTATGATCATTGTTAAATCTTCTATGATCATTTCTAATCATCTTCTATGATCATTCTAAATCTTCTATGATCATTCTATTCTAAATCTTCTATGATCATGTTAAATCTTCTATGATCAAAATCTTCTATGATCATGTTAAAATCTTCTATGATCATAAATCTTCTATGATCATTCTAAATCTTCTATGATCATTTTAAATCTTCTATGATCATGTTAAATCTTCTATGATCATTCTAAATCTTCTATGATCATGTTAAATCTTCTATGATCATGTTAAATCTTCTATGATCATGTTAAATCTTCTATCATCATGTTATGAATGTTAAATCTTCTATGATCATGTTAAATCTTCTATATCATAAATCTTCTATGATCATGTTAAATCTTCTATGATCATGTTAAATCTTCTATGATCATGTTAAATCTTCTATGATCATTCTAAATCTTCTATGATCATTCTAAATCTTCTATGATCATGTTAAATCTTCTATGATCATTCTAAATCTTCTATGATCATCATGATGTTAAATCTTCTATGATCATGTTAAATCTTCTATGATCATTAATCTTCTATGATCATCTTAAATCTTCTATGATTCATTCTTAAATCTTCTATGATCATGTTAAATCTTCATGTTAAATCTTCTATGATCATGAAATCTTCTATGATCATGTTAAATCTTCTATGATCATAAATCTTCTATGATCATTAAATCTTCTTATGATCATGTTAAATCTTCTAAATCATGTTAAATCTTCTATGATCATGTTAAGTCTTCTATGATCATGTTAAATCTTCTATGATCATGTTAAATCTTCTATGATCATGTTAAGTCTTCTATGATCATGTTAAATCTTCTATGATCATGTTAAATCTTCTATGATCATCTGATCATTCTAAAAATCTTCTATGATCATTCTAAATCTTCATGAATTCTAAATGAATCATGATCATTTCTAATCTATGATCATTCTAAATCTTGATCATTCTAAATCTTCTATGATATTGATCATTCTAAATGATCATTCTAAATCTTCTATGATCATTCTAAATCTTCTATGATCATTCTAAATCTTCTATGATCATTCTAAATCTTCTATGATCATTCTAAATCTTCTATGATCATGTTAAATCTTCTATGATCATGTTAAATCTTCTATCGTGCATAACAGTAAATATCAAAGTTCATTTGAAGTTGAGATCAGGTGTTTTTCCTTTAACATTTCTCACCGATATGAAGGATTTATTACATTTATAGACTCTGATTATAGATCAAAGTGTTGTTTCATTATTTGCGTTGAAATAAAATGTACGTTGTCTGTGAGGCTATCATGATTAGAATATTTATGAATGATGATATACATTATATTATCTCAAAGGGTACAGAGCCAACGGTTTATAAGACCTTTAATAAAGAGGAAGAAAAAAGAAAAGTAATGATAATAACAATAATAATGATAATGATAATGATAACAATGCTAATAATAAAAATTACAATAATAATAAGAAGAATGATTATGATAATAATAATGAAATCTGAATACCTTACCTACACTCTAGAAAAAAAATCATTCCATACTTATACTCTTCCTTTAAAAAAAAATCATAGCTTACCTACTTTTCCCTTAATAATAATAATAAAAAAAAATTCCTTTAGCCTCCCCCTCAAAAAAAAAAAAAAAAAAAAAAAAAAAAAAACATAAATCACCTACACTCTTCCCTAAAATAAAAAATAAATAACCTTACCTATCTTCCACCCTTAATAAATAAATAAACATTAAAAATCAAAATATAAAAAAAGAGAGTAAAAATTAGAAATAAAAAAATATAACAAAATGAAATAAAATATTTTTTAAAAATAAAAATAAAAATAAAAAAATAAAAATAAAATATAAAAAAATGAATAGAAAAAATAAAGAAAGAAGGAAAATTAAAATACGAATAAATAAAAAGAGAAACAAATATTTGAAAAAGATCCTTACCAATGGCTGGGACGAGAGTAAAGGTCGAGCAGGAGTGTGCTGGCGACGAGAACGGCCGGAAGCTCCCCTAAGGTGGCGTAGACTCTTGGGTGAACAGCCCCCCACCTCGAGGGAACCTTACGCCTAACTCCACGCAGACGGCACCTGTTGGGGGGAAGAGGGGGGGGGCGTCGAATTAGGTGGTAGATTTTTTTTTTTTATTTTTATTTATTTTTTATTCATTTTTTTTATTTATTTTTTATTATTCATTTTATTTCATTTTTTTATTGATTGATTTTTTTTTGTGTGATGTATATGATTAATTATTGTGTGAGTATATAGTATATATGTATATATTATATATATATATATATATATACTATATATATATATATAATATATATATATATATATATATATATATATATACTTTTTTTTGCCGGTCGTTATGCTGGGTCGGTCTTGTATTCTAAGTGGTAAATCCAGAATTCCAGGTGTTGATATTAAAGATAATTTGAATTAATTATTGTAGTAATAATATGATATCATGACGATAATTTTTTATACGTCTCCCTATAATCATGACAACAGGATATCTATAATAAAGAAAACAACAACAATAATGATGATAATAAGGTAATTCCCCCTTAAAAATCTTTCAACCTAAATAGAAAACTAAACAAAGAAGAAAAAAAAGAAGAAAAACAAGAAAAGCAAGAAAAAAAACAGAAAATCCACAGATATTAAGAAGGAAAGTCCCAGGTCAGGATTCATTAGAGTGAGATAATGAGGCAAAAAAAAAAAAAAAAAAAAAAACACGAGAACTGCATCTTAGACTAAAAATAGCGGGTGATGAGAGAGACACGGAGGAAATGTCTGTCGTAAGTCAAGGTGTCTTAGCACGCGTGGGTTGGTTGGGGGGGGGGGGGGGGGGGGGGGGGCGGTGGGGGGGGGGTTAGGGTGCGTGATGGTGTGTGTGTGTGTGTGTGGTGTAATCGCGCGTGGTTGGTTGGGGGGTGGGTGGGGTGGGGGGTAGGGGTGGGGGTGATGGTCCGTGGTTGGTGCGTGTGTGTGTGTGTTAGGAGGGTGTGTTGTGGGAGAAGGTGGTGTGAGGTGGGGAGTGGTGTGAGGTGGTGTGTGTGATGGTGTGTGTGTGTGTGTAGGAGGTGGTGTGAGGTGGTGATGGGTGTGTGTGTTGTGTGTAGGAGGATGGTGTGAGGTGGTGAGGTGGTGGTGTGTGTGTGATGTGTGTTGTGGTGTGTGTAGGAGGTGTGTGAGGTGGGTGATTGGTGTGTGTGTGTGTGTGTAGGAGGTGGTGTGAGGTGGGTGATGGTGTGTGTGTGTGTGTAGGAGGTGGTGTGAGGTGGGTGATGGTGTGTGTGTGTGTGTAGGAGGTGGTGTGAGTGGGTGAATGGTGTGTGTGTGTGTGTGTAGGAGGTGGTGTGAGGTGGGTGATGGTGTGTGTGTGTAGTGTGTAGCAGGTGGTGGTGAGGTGTATGTGTGTGGTGTGTGTGTGTAGAGGTGGTGTGAGGTGGGTGATGGTGGTGTGGTGTGTGTTGTAGGAGG